GATGGCCTCCAAGTCCGCCCAAGATGGTCCAAGACGGCCTCCAAGACGGCCCAAGAGAGTCCAAGACGGCCCAAGACGGCCCAAGAGGCCCCCCAGAGGCCTCCAAGACGGCCCAAGAGGCCCCCAAGAGGTCCTCCAGGAGGGCCCGAAGAGGCCAAAATTATTGATTTTCCATAGGTTTTTGAAGGATTTTGGAATTTGTCTCTTCTCTGCATTCCGACGGCTCAAGACGGCCCAAGAGGCCCCCAAGATCACCCCAGAGGCCCCCAAGAGGGCCCCATGACGGCCCAAGTGGCCTCCAAGAGGGCCCCAAGAGGGCCCCAAGACGGCCCAAGAGGCCTCCAACACGCCCAAGATGGCCTCCAAGACGCCCAAGATGGCCCCCAAGACGGCCCCGAAGCGCCCCAAGAGGACCCCAAGTCGGCCCAGAACGGCCCCCAAGACGGCTCCCGACGGCGTCAGACGTGCCAGGAACCCACCAAGATGGCCGAAGTTGGCTCGAAGCTGGCCCAAGACAGCCCAAGTGGCCCCCAAGAGGGCCTCCAGGAAGGCCAGAAGAAGCCACAAACATTACGTTTTCCGTGGTGTTTGATGTATTTTGACATTTGCTTCTTTTCGGCCTTCCGACGGCCCGAGACGGCCCAAGAGCTCCCAAAGATCGCCCCAAGATCGCCCACGAGGCCTCCAAGATGGCCCCAGAACGGCCCAAGAGGGCCCCAAGACGGCCCAAGAGGTCTCCAAGACGGCACAGGAGGCCTTTAAGACGCCCAAGATGTCCTCCAAGACGGCCCTGGAGCATTCCAAGAGGACCCCAAGTCGGCCCATCGAGGCCCCCCAAACGGCTTCCGACGGCGTCAGACGGACCAGGAGCCCACCAAAACGGCTGAACATGGCCCCAAGATGGCCCAAGACGGCCCAAGAGGCCTCCACGAGGGCCTCCAGGAAGGCCCCAAAAGGCCAAAATGATTGATGTCCCATGGGTTTTCGAGGGATTGCGGCGTTTGCTTTTTGTCTGCCTTCCGACGGCCCGAGACGGCCCAAGTGCCCCCAAAGATCGCCCAAGAGGCCCAAGACACGGCCCCAAGAGGCCCCCAAGACGGCCCAAGAGGTCTCCAAGACGCCCAAGATGGCCTCCAAGACGGTCCAAGAGCCCTCCAAGACGTCCTCCAAGAAGGCCCGCAAGGGTCAAAGTGGCCCCCAGACTGCCAAGATGACCTTCAAGATGCCACGTGTTCCCCGAATGCTTTCCAAACCGATTCGGGGAACACATGGTCCGATAGCTTGGCAGGTCTGGCCTCAACGTTCGGCCACATAGGCGCTTCCAAAAAGGCAGGGGGCGGCGGTGATTCGCCGTAGGCGTCTTCGATCCGCCGCCCCCTATCGATTCATCGCAGGGGTGCCTGCCGTGCCGAACCCTATCGGTTTTGGTTGTGGCTCTTTTTCCAAAAGAACTCCCACTGGGGCTTCGGCCAGTCCCGCCTGGGTCCCAGGAGATTCCCGAAAATCCACCTGTCAATGCCTGTGTTGCCCCGAGCTGGCCCAAGACGGCCTCCAAGACGGCCAAGATGGCCAAGGATGGCCTCCAAGACGCCTCCAAGACAGCCAAGATGGCCTCAAAGACGGCGAAGATGGCTCCAAGATGCACCCCAGACGGCCCAAAATGGCCTCGAGGTGGTTTCCGACGGCCCAAAAGGCCCCCACGAGGCCTCCAAGACGGCCCAATTGGCCTGCCGTTTCGGCGTTCCGACGGCCCAAGACGGCCCAAGAGGCCCCCAAGATCGCCCCAAGATCGCCCACGAGGCCTCCCCAGAACGGCCCAAGAGGCTCCCAAGACGGCCCCAAGAGGCCCCCAAGACGGCCCAGGAGGCTTTTAAGACGCCCAAGATGGCCTCCAAGACGGCCCTGGAGCATTCCAACAGGGCCCCGAGTCGGCCCAGGATGGCCCCCCAAACGGCTTCCGACGGCGTCGGACGGGCCAGGAGCCCACCAAGACGGCCGAAGATGGCCTTAAGATGGCCCAAGACGGCCCAAGAGGCCTCCAAGAGGGCCTCCAGGAAGGCCCGAAAAGGCCAAAATCATTGATGTCCCATGAGTGTTTGAAGGATTGTGGCATTTGCTCATTATTCGGCCTTCCGACGGCCCGAGACGGCCCAAGTGCCCCCAAAGATCGCCCAAGAGGCCCAAGACGGCCCCAAGAGGCCCCCAAGACGGCCCAAGAGGTCTCCAAGACGCCCAAGATGGCCTCCAAGACGGCCCAAAAGCCCTCCAAGACGTCCTCCGAAAAGGCCCGCAAGGGTCAAAATGGCATCCAGACGGCCAAGACGACCTTCAAGATGCCCACGTGTTCCCCGAAGGCTTTCCACACCGATTCGGGGAAAGCATGGACCGATAGCTTGGCAGGTCTAGTTTCAACGCCTCCCAGACGACCCAAGAGGGTCCCAGATACGTCCAAGTTCGCCCAAGAAGCCTCCAAGACGGCCCAAGAGGCCCCCAAAAGGTCTTCCAGGAGGGCCCGAAGAGGCCAAAATCGCTGATTTTCCATAGGGTTTTGAAGGATTGTGGCAGTTGCTTCTTCTCGGCACTCCGACGGCTCAAGACGGCCCAAGACGGCCCTCAAGATCACCCCAAGATCGTCCACGAGGCCCCCAAGAGGGCCCCATGAGGGCCAAAAAGGCCCCCAAGACGGCCCCAAGAGGGCCCCAAGAGGCCTCGAAGACGGCCAAGATGGCGTCCAAGACGGATCAAAGTGGCTGAGAATGCCTCCAAGATGGCCCAAGACGCACAGAAGACGGCCTAAGATGGCCTCAAGATGGCCCAAGACAGCGCAAGAGGCCCCCAAGATGCCTCCAAGACGGGCCAAGAGCCGTCCAAGAGGTCCTCCAGGTGGGTCCGAAGAGGCCAAACTCGTTGAGTTTCCCTTAGTGTTTGACAGATTTGGGCATTTGCTTCTTCTCAGCATTCCGACGGCTCAAGACGGCCCAAGACGCCGCCAAGATTGCCCCAAGATCGTCCACGAGGCCTCCAAAAGGGCCCCATGAGAGCCAAAAAGGCCCCCAAGACGGCCCCAAGAGGGCCCCAAGAGGCCTCCAAAATGGCCAAGATGGCGTCCAAGACGGCTACGATGGCCCCAAGATGCCTCCAAGACGGCCTGAGATGCACCCAAGACGGCCTAAGATGGCCTAAAGATGGCCTAAAGATGGCCTCAAGGTAGCCCAAGAGGGCCCAAGAGGGCCCAAGAGGCCCCCAAGAGGCCTCCAAGACGGCCCAAAAGGCATCCAGGAGGTCTTCCAGGAGGGCCCGAAGAGGCCAAAGTCATTGATTGTTCCCAAGTGTTTGACAGATTTGACCATGTGCTTCTTCTCGGGGTTCGGAGGGCTCAAGGCAGCCCAAGAGGCCCTCAAGATCGCCCAAAGATCGCCCAAAAGGCATCCAAGATGGCCCCTATGACGACCCAAAAGGCCCCCAGGACGGCCCAAAAACGGCAGAAGAAGCCTCCAAGACGCCCTACATGGCCTCTAAGAACCCCTGATATGCCCCAAGAGGGCCCCAAGACGACCCAGACAAGCCCCCAAAACGGCTTCCGACGGCGTCAGACAAGCCAGGAACGCCCGACAACGGCCAAAGAGCCCCCAAGAAGCCTCGAAAGGCACCGCAAAACCCTCCAAGGTGCCCCCAGGAAGCTCCCAGGAGGCCGAAAGAGTGCCCATAGAGGCGCCCAAGAGGCCTCCTCCTCCTCCTCCTCCTCCTCCTCCTCCTCCTCCTCCTCCTCCTCCTCCTCCTCCTCCTCCGTTCCTCATCCTCGCCCGCCTCCTCTTCATACTCCCCCACGCGATCCCCGAAGTCTTTCCAAACCGACTCGGGGAACAACTCGCCCGATAGCTTGGTTAAGCTCTGGCCCAGCTGTCGGCCACAGAGGCGCTTCCAAAGGGGCAGGGGGCGGCGGTGATTCGCCGTAGGTGTCTTTGATTGACATGTATATATATATATACGTATACAAAAATGCCTTGGTCGTGGGTGAGGTGCGTCGTGATTGCATCTCGAGGCCTCGTGGCATGATCATCACGGTTCTTCTGAAGACCTTTTTGCAATCTCCTGGGCGCCTCTTGAGGCCTTCTGAAAGCCTCCCGAGAGCCTCGGTGGGCCTCTTGGAAACGTCTTGGCGGATTCATGGAGGGTCTTGAGGCTGAGCGGCTGATGGGGAGCGGTAACCCCAAGAAATCCCAAACCTCGTTAGCCCCCTGTTGGGGCGCTCTTGGAGCTCTCTTTTCTTTACCGCGGCTTCGGCCTGTCCATGGGCTAAGTCAGTTCGACAGCAGGCTTGGCAAGCAAGACAGAAGGCCTGCAACAACCCTGGACGACGAAAATGGGGCAAGGAATGGATGAACGAGAGAGAAAACTATGGTCCGCGCTTGCCCGTCCGAACGTCGGCAAGATCCACCCGCAACGCCGGCAACCAGCTACATTAAGCCCGCGGCGCTCGGGCTGCCACGAAGTGCGGAGTCAGGACATACCAGACTGGGTATGGAGGATGCAGCGAGAAGAGGTAAAAAGAGAGAGGGCGACACTCTGGGCCTTGTCGAAGCGGCCATGGAAAAGTAACTCGTGCAGAGTTCAGGAGCGTTGACCTCGGGCGAGGTAAAACCATGGACTGATCGTCCTCTTGCGGAGGAGCCTGGGCACTTCCTACTTCTCTCTCTCTCTCTCTTGCGAACGGTTCCGCCAAGACGTTCTCTGAAAAACAACGGTGAAAAGACAGTTCCACAGCAGCAAGTACAAGCGCCTCAGTGCAACAATGTGCCATGAAGATGAGAATTCGATGGAAGAGACACACGTGTGTGAAAAATAGATAAGATGACTGGTAGGTGCTTCACCAACTGCGCGAGCACCGTCTCAAGCGCAACGGCATCCTGGCCGCACAGAAACGAAGCCAATCGATGTAGAGTACGACTTCACCTTCGCCGCAGAAACAAACTGCCAAATGCACAACATCATCCGGGGGCTCACACGGGGGCGGAGGAGACGGAGATGGTGGTGAACGCAACCGAGCTCGCTCCCTGCGCGCACCAGGACCAGGTCGGCAGGCCCAGAAGCTGCGCCGGGCAGAGCCCGAAAGAGGGCTTGCGGGGCTCCGGAGAGCTGGCGTCGGGCGTGCCGACCGCGGCGACGCCGAAGAGCTCCCTGGACCTCTCCACGTCGGCCCGGGAGAGGCCCACGCCGCAGCACAGCAGCGACCCGTCGCCGGTGACCCACTCCGAGTAGGTGTGGATCAGCCTCACCCGCGCGGCAGCCGGAGGCAACACGCGGCTCCCGATGTACTCCTCCACCGACGCGGGAGAGTCTATCGGCTGCCCGTCGAGGGACCACGTGCCCCTGAGGGGCGATATGAAGAAGTCCTCCAGCAAGAGCACCCTCAGTCGCCCTGCCTCCGCCGCCGCGGCCGCCGCGCCTCCCTGGGCCGTCAGTTCCGCCACGCAGTTACCAATAGCCCGGAGGCGCCCGTTGGGCAGCTCGTCTAACGAGCCAGTGCTGGCGTCGAAGCGAAACTCGCGCCCGAGCCACTTTGTCAGGCAGCGCTGGAGCTCCTCGAGGCGCTTCTTGTGGCGTGCTGCCTGCCAGGTGGACGACAGGACGATGATTGCCCGCGGGCCAGCAAGGCCAATGATCTCTGCGAGGCGCCCCACAAGCACGTCCGAGATGTGGGAGGGGTTCTGGGTGGCCAGATTGGCGAGTGTCTCGCTCTCGCCGTCGAGCCTCTTCTGACAGACAGCCATCAACGTCTCCACTGTTAGGCGCTCCCGCTCCGGGTAGTTTTCGGGCCAGCATGATTCGCGCCACAAGGATCGCGCCAGCCTGATGTTCGAGTCGTTGAGCAGGATGGGCGATCCGCTTCTGTCCTTGGCGCCAACGTTCAGCACACCGTCGACGTCGACGAAAATGACAGTGTCGACGTCGCCGGGTAGCCTGACGGTATTTGGCCCCGGAGCAGGCAAACTGTTGAAATCTTACGTTAATATTGAAATCAACATGACGAAAGTGTGATATCGCGAAGCGGGCGAAATATGAGTGCCGAAATGTCCGTTCGGGTTCCCCATCTGGACCCCTGTTGGGGCCCTTTTGGGGCCCTCTTGGGCCGTCTTGGGGCCCTCTTCGGGGCCTCTGGGCCCGTCTTGGGGCGATCTTTGGGGCCTCGTGGGCCGTCTTGGAGCGTCGGGAAACCGAAGGAAGCGAAAGCTGGGATATGTCAAATACCTGAGGAGAATCAATGATTTGCGCCTCTTGGGGTCATCGCGAGGGTGCTGTTGGAGGCCTCGGGGGCCGTCTTGGAGCTATCTGGGGCCGTCTCGAGGCTATTGACAACGTATTTGAGCTATGCTTCGGCAAGTCGGGCTTCTCTTGGACCGTTGTGGGCGGGCACAGCGTCCAGAGGACTTGCAGGGAAACACCCCACAAGTCACGGGAGGATCTGCGCCTATTCCCCGTCAAGCGTTGGCTTCCTCGGGGCGACACAAGCCTGTCAACGCCGCCTGCCGGCTCCTCCGCCGCCGTCGCGCAGCCGCCATCCATCCAGTGGGCCGTCATCGAGCGCGCGCGCGCGCGGGCACTCGAGCGCGCCCTGGCCGACGCGCCGAGACCGGCGGCGGCCAGGGACGCAAACCACCTGTGCAAGAACGGATTGAGAAGGTGGCGCATGATAGTTCTGAGTGTCGTCGCCTTGTCTGTCCGCAGAGTGAGATGGGCCCGGCATGCGAATTCTAAACTATGGACCTTTCCAACGCTTGACTGGGCCCTCCTGAACCCGCTGGCTTGCGACCCTCACACTCAAGATCTTCGGGTAGGGCACCGGATAAGGCGTCGGGTTGGCCGTCGCGGGGGCACCCTGACACACAGGAAACTGGCCACTGCTGCTCCCGACGCCACCGAAATTCTCCTTGGAACCGATGTTGTTGTCACGGTTTGTATGTAATCAACCTCCGAGACCGTCGGCAGAAATGCGGTCCCCGTCCCAAGGATTATGTTGTTCCCATCGTACTTAAGAACCACATCCCAAAAATAGTTTCGAGCACCCAGAAAAGGATCGGAACAGTGTCGGACGAGTGTCGCGTCCCAAGGCCCGACACATAAAAACCCTCCAGTCTCAGTACTTCCGGGGTGCTCGAAATCCTTTCGGGCGATCAAGGCCAAAGTAGGCTAGATCGTCATAACCCAAGGATGCTCCAACGCAACTACGACGTCCTGGCCTGCCCACGAGCTTAGGACCGGGCCTGGCAGTAAAACAGGGCTAGGATCGGGATAAATCGTTCCAGAGCGTTCCGGAGCGCTCTCAGAGCGTTCCGGAACGCTCAGGAGCGGCCGCGGCGCCCAATACATCCTCCAAACCCGCCGATTCTCAGAGATTTCGAGTTATCCCGATCCGATTTTGTCCCGATCTTCGCGTCGTTTTAGGCAGTCTCGTGGACCTGGCGCGGAGCCCACGCGTGGAGCCGACGAGCACCGGGCTGCCCATGGGGGGCTCGGGGCAGCCACCCCAAGAGATCATACCCCACCATTCCTGTTGGCTCTCTCTCTCTTGGCCCCGTTGGGGCCCTCTGCGGGCTTTTCGGGGGGACCCTCCTGGGCGGTTTCGGAAGACTCTTGGGCCGATGTGGTGGGGCCCTCTTGAGCCGTCTTCGGGCCCTCTGGGGGTCCTCTTGGAGCCATCTGGGAGAACGCCATCTGGGAGAACCTTGGGGCCCTCTTGAGCTCTCGGAGGCCCGCGAAAGCGAGAACTCGAAAATCCAGCACAATGATATGGGACCGGGCATGATAATGTTGTCTCAATTCAGAAATATTAGCCGATGCTGAGCAAATATGGACCGACCCTGGCTTGAGCCCACATCCGATCTAGAACCCATGGGTGGGGGCACAGGCATCAATTCGACGTCTCACTCAAGAAATATGAGCTTAGGCTGAGCAAATATGGACCGACCCTGGCTTGAACCCGAATCAAACCCAGAACCTAGGGGGGGAACATGCATATCCGCGACTGCGCTAGCTGCGGGTGGTGTGCATCGGGCCCTTTCGCTCATTTGCGAAGCAATAATGAGGCCCCCCCGGCTCATCGATCCCAGGAAGCGTTCATTCGTGTGGACCAAGCTCTGCGTGTGCTACCTTCCAGGCAAAAAAATATCCCGAATGCAAAACCTGCGGCAGGGGGTTCCGTGGACCCTGTCGCCCAAGTTTCTCGCCCCCGGCCGAGGGAAGCCTCAGAGAGAATGTCCTAAAGTACGGCCCCAGCTGGACTTCAAGACGGCCAAGATTGTCTCCAAGTCGGACTCGCTGGCCCACTACGGCTTCCACGACAGACCCAAATCGACTCGAAAACGGCAGCGTTGGCCCCCGAGCGGCCCCAGGAGGCCGCCAAGAAGGCCCAAGAGGGCAACTAGAGGTCTCCAAGGACGCCTCTGGGAAGCTAAAGCTGTGTAAAACACGTAGTTCTCCCCCCAGATTAACAGTCTCGCGCTGTTGAGACCCTGACGAAGACCAAAAATGACCCTCAAGACGCTCAAAGAAATTCCAACAGACCCCAACAAGGCCCGCAAGAGGACTCCAAACAGGCCCCACATAGGCTCCAAAGAGGCTCCCAAGCAGCCCCAAGAGGCCCCCAGGAAGACCCCAGAGGCCCGCAGAGGCCGACAAGAAGCCCCTTGAGGCCCCGTGAGGGCTTCGACGCACTCAGCGAACAACACCGGCAAAGGCAGCATTTCTCAGCTCCAGAGTGGGCAGCGCAAGGACCATAGAACGCCACGTCTGCGCACCACTGCGGCCTGCCTGCGCAGCTTCTCTAAGCGCGATGGCGAATATGCGCGGCAGCGCATCTCTATTGATGGTGTGTAGAGGTCCCTGATGGGCACTACAGTCGGGGTCTTGACCCAAGGAACCCAAAATAAGGAACGAGGCCCCTTTTCTCCATAAATGAACCTTCCATTTCCTGTCGGAAACATAAGGAAAACCTGAGGCAAGCTGTGAAACACTTAAGGAACGCGGAGCCCCTCCCCAACGAAAAAGGGTTCCTTTTTCAGGGCCCCGACTGTATTAGAGCTGTGGGCAGCACTTGTTGGACTTGACGAGGCATGAGCACGTCCAGCACTGGCATGTGATCTCAAGTTCGCAGGGTTGGGTCAGAGCCGTGGGCAGCGCGGGAGGGCACTTGCGTGAAGGCTCTGGCAGGCGCACGATGTGATGAGGACGACGAGGAGACGGATCGGGAGGAGAAAGACAAGAAAACAAAGGGGTCAGACCCCTCTGCAAAAATTATCCCGGCAAAGCAACCTAACAGCGATGTGTAGAAGCATATCTGAAAGCATTCCCCTTAAGATTCAGATGAAAATCCAGTTGTAGAATTCTGCTGTTCTCGCAGTCGTAGTCGCATTCGCGATGACAGTCGCAGCGGCAACGGCAGTCGCAGTCACAGCCTCAGCCTCAGCCTGCCTCAGCCTCAGCCTCAGCCTGCCTCAGCCTCAGCCTGCCTCAGCCTCAGCCTCAGCCTGCTTCAGCCTCAGCCTCAGTCTGCCTTCAGCCTCGGCCTCAGCCTCAGCCTGCCTCAGCCTCAGCCTGCATCAGCCTCAGCCTCAGCCTCAGCCTGCCTCAGCCTCAGCCTGCTTCAGCCTCAGCCTCAGCCTGCTCAGCCTCAGCCTCAGTCTGCTTCCTCAGCCTCAGTCTGCCTTCAGCCTCGGCCTCAGCCTCAGCCTGCCTCAGCCTCAGCCTGCCTCGGCCGCAGCATCAGCCTGCTTCAGCATTCAAAATGTGGCCCAGGAATGGAGTTCTGGGAACTAGAAGAACACGAAGTGGCCTACAGTTGGCTCCGGGCATTCAAAATCATGCCCAGGAATGGAGTTCTGGGAACTCGAAGAGCACGAAGTGGCCTACAGTTGGCTCGGGCATTCAAAATGTGGCCCGGGAATGGAGTTCTGGGAACTCGAAGAGAGCACGAAGTGGCCTACAGTTGGCTCCGGGCATTCAAAATGTGGCCCGGGAATGGAGTTCTGGGAAGTCGAAGACCACGAAGTGGCCTACAGTTGGCTCCGGGCATTCAAAATGTGGCCCGGGAATGGAGTTCTGGGAAATCGAAGAGCACGAAGTGGCCTACAGTTGGCTCCGGGCATTCAGAATGTGGCCCGGGAATGGAGTTCTGGGATGTCAAGGAGCACCAAGTGTGTGACTGTTGCATCCGGTTATTCAGAATGTGGCCTGGGAATGGGGTTCTGAGAGGTCGACGAGCACGAAGTGTGTGACTGTTGGTGAAAAACGAGCCCGGCACAGGCCCGGCCGGCAACTCCCAACGCCTGCCCGGACCCCCCTGTGGAGTGATCTGTGAGCTCTTTTGAATCAACTAGAAACCTATCAGTCTTCGCTGTTAGGTAAAAAACACCACTCCACAATCCTCTGGACTCCCTCCCTCTTGCCCCCCACCCCTCCCCCCTCTCCCCCATCGCCCTAAACGGGCCCAGGGACGCACAAACAAATAGACACGAATCCCGGAATTCCCCATATGTTCCATGTGTTCTGGATGTTCGTCTTCCCCTCCACTTCCCCTATTTTCCATACTCTCCTGGGGATCGACGAGTCTTTGTGTCTGTGCTTTTGTTCTCCCTCCTGACGCCCACCGAAGCTAGAGGCCTCCTAAGATGGGGTCCGAGCAGATGAGGTCGGAGGATCGCGCCGCATCGCCAATGCATCGGCGATGCATCGACGATGATTCGGCGATGCATCGGCGACGTCGGCGTTGCATCGGCGACACCGGCATGGAAAAAATCTGACCCCGCATCGAGCTGCATAGCCGACGCGTCGGCGAGGTGGCGGGATCCTTCGACCCCGTCTGCTCGGAGCCTATCTAGGAGGCCTCCCTCCTCCCTTCTCCCTCCTGGGCGAGGAAGAGGAGGAGGAGGAGGAGAAGGAAGAGGAGGAGGAGGAGGAGGAGGAGGAGGAGGAGGAGGAGGAGGCGGAGGAGGGCCACCGCCCAGACACCCGCCGGGCGCGACTGCCTGGTTGGGGGTCCTGCGGAACACGTCCGGCATGTTCTCGTCGTCGGACGACTCCTCCTCCGCCGCCTCGGCGCACGGCGGCCGCGCGGGAGTCCTGGGGCCCCCGCGCTTCCAAGGGGATCCAAGGAGGCCCAACTTGGGCTGCCTGGAGCGGCTCAGTAGAAGAAGACCAAACTGCACAGACTTGGATCTGCACTGGACCCCCCTCCCTGGCGCACGGAGCGCGCCAGGGGCGTCGGCGGAGGCGCCGCCAGGGGGGCCCAGCGCGGATCCAAGAAATCCGCGCGGAGCGCCAAAAGTGTATGTTCATGCCGCTCTGTTTTCTTCGATTCAGGGGAGCTGAAGCGAAGCCGCGCGAAGATAAAGCGAGCACACAACTCAACCAATACATACAACTATGGCGCAAGCTACATCAATGATGCGTGTTTTCTCTGTGTTGCGTATGCTGGACAACTGGTGCTGCCCGAAGGCGCAATCCAAAACCCCGAGGGCACCCCAAGAGAGAGGGGGGATGCTTGGCTCCGCCAGGAGGACGCTGCGTATGCGCACTGCATGCTT